AGACCAGGAGTCTGTCTCCTCTGTAATTGCAAAGTAACTCCACTTAAGTCAGTGGAGACAGCCCCACTTTGTGTTGGTGCTAATCCCCTGACATGTAAATAAGGATGAATGTGGTACTGCAAAGAACACACCAGTAGATAGACATTCCCTGGTATTTGCTTTTTGTGTGGCATCCAAAACTCGTTGTGTGGAAGTCACCAAAAGATCTCAGCGTCCATTTATCTAACTACACACAGTTACCCAGCACAGGCCTATATCTTAGTTCCTAAGAGATGCACGTGGACCTTCTGCTCTAAATAAATTCCACTTGTAAAGAGCAACTGTCAAGCACTTCTAATTTTCTTCTCCCTTACAACAGAGCAACTCAGCAAATCAAGGCCTGGAAGTTTTTACACCACACTAATAAATACCTCTTGGCATCAGCACCTGCAAAGACTCCCCACTGCATAAGTTGTTGGTTTTCCAGGGGATCACTCCCTTCAGCATTGTGCTTTGCAATAATTATTTGCAGAATCAGCTCTGCTGTCATGAGATATCCCTATAAGCACCACAGGACTGGTCTTTTCCAGGCTTTACCTCTCTGTCGGTGCTTGCGGGTGACGAGGACAACAATGATGAGGACGACAACGAAGAGCAGCAGAGTTGCCAGGATGTAGCCCAGCTGCTGGAAGAAGTGCACCCGGCTCTCAGGGATGATGACATTTATTACGTTGTGGCCCCTGACAACATTTGGATCTGATGGCAAAGGAAAAGGAAAACAGGCAGATAATTTTAATCGGCACCCAAAGCAAAGCACGTCCACACGCAGGCACATATGTGGATCCCAAAAGCAAGTTCAGTGAGAAACTCAGTGCATGAAGGAAAGGGCAAACGTGTGCCTAATTTACAAAATACTGCACCTTCGTCAGATGGAAGATGCACCAAGTATTAACAGCAACTGTTCACAGAATCGTGTCAGGAGTTGAAGGGGACTTGGGAAGCCCCCCCAGTGCACCCCCTGCCACAGCAGGATCACCAGAGCAGTCACACAGGAACACGGCCAGGGCTTTGGGTGTCTCCACACAAGGAGACTCCACAACCTCTCTGGGCAGCCTGGGCCATGCTCCAGAACCCTCACACTCACAAACTTTGGCCTCATCTTCAGCTTGAACCTCCTGTGCTCCAGCTTGGGACCATTGCCCCTTGTCCTGGCATTGGCCATCCCAGAGCAGAGCCTGGCTCCTTCCTCCTGACACTGCCCTTTCCCAATGGATTCCCAGCAATGAGGGCACCCCTCAGTCTCCTCTGCTCCAAGCTCAAGAGCCCCAGCTCCCTCAGCCGCTCCTCAGCAGGAGATGCTCCACTCCCTGCATCATCTCTGTGGCCCTGCTGGACTCTTTCAAGCAGTTCCTGTCCTTCTGGAGCTGAGGGCCCAGCACTGGACACAAGATTGCAGCTGTGGTGTGAGCAGGGCAGAGCAGAGGGGCAGGAGAACCTCTCTGCCCTCCAACCACCCCTTCTCATCCAGCCCAGGATGGCGTTGGCCTTCTTGGTTGCCAGCGAACATTGCTGGCTCATGATCATCCTGCTGGCCACCAACACCCCCAGGTCTCTTTCTGCTGTGCTACTCCCCAACAGGTCAGACCTCAGTGTATCCTGGTCCATGGGGTTGCTGCTACATGTACAGCTGCACATTCCCTTGCTGCTGCCTTGCTGTCAGCGTGTTCTTGCTTATTACAGAGGGAAGACCAGCAAGAAGCCACACAAGACAGCCCCAAGTCTTTCTGCAGGGTAACACAACACTCCTCTGGGTCCTTACAGCACACACACCACGCTGCTTCGGCTCCAGACAGCTCAAGTATGAGGCAGCCCCTCCCTGCCAAGGGTTATAATTTACAGAGCGGGAGGAATTTTCAATGCCAAAGAATGAGTTTCTTTTAAAATAAAATGTTAAAAAATCAATAAAATAAATAAAAACGCACAAAGAAAAGCCAAGATTCCATTCCATCTGTGGGTGCAGCAGCGTTTCAGTTCCGCAGCGCAGCAAGGGTAACTCAAAACTTTTACGTGGAACATTTTTGTAGATCTCACATAAATAGGTCAACGTTTTACGCATATAAAGAGGAAGCGACTCCTCAGCCCACGCACAGACAGCAGACCCATGAGACACGTTGTGCTGGGGGAGGCTTTTCTTTCCAAAACAGAGTGGAAAGTGGCACCTTCTCCTCCTAACAGAGAACATTCCTAGAGCACCAAGCAAGAACCAGTGTGGAGCTCTGGCCAACTTGGGAGTTTAACCCTGTAAATTAGAGAGAAAAGGGGAAAAAAATGGGGGAAAATATACCACAAGCTACAGTACTAATTTAACAGACGTGTTCTAATGTGAGAAATGTTGGCGTTTCTGGAACTGCTGGCATAGTCACTGGTTCCAGTTTGTTTCCAGCATTTAAAAATGCCAACCCAGCAACAACAAAATCAAATAAGGCAACAGTACACTGAAATAAATACTTTGAAACCAGAGATGATCGTTCGCTAATGCTAACAGCAGATCTAGAAAATGGAGAGGTTTTAGTGTATGCTTTGTTCTGGTAGCCCAGTCCTCCGCTCCAGTAACGCTCCACTTTCTACTGGTATTGCTGGCTGCTGTGCACTTGCTGGCTACAGCACTGAAAACTGGCATGTGCTTTTCACCACTGCTAAGCTGAAAAACGCCAAACCAAAAAACCCACTTGCAAAGCTGCAAACTGTATACGTGACAGCTCTATTTTAACACATCTCTGGATCCTGAAGGGCTTCTCCAGCAGCTGCCGCGATGAGCTGGTGGCCGCTGGAGCAGCTGCGGAGCCAGAAGTCAGCCAACAGAAATGCACTCTGCTCCTGGCTCTTTGCTTTCCCACAACACTGCGAGAGAGGGCAGGAGCTTTGGTCACCACTGGGGAGGTCGCTGGAACAACAAACAGTGCAGAGATTCAGTATCTTTGGGCCTCCTTGGCTAAGTAATCCTAAAAATAGTTTTGACAAAACATAACTGGTAAACTCCAAAGTGCATCACCAGGAAGGCAGCAGAATGTGGACTACTTTATAATTGGGGAAACTGAGGCACAGAGTAATGGTTGACTCGGTCTCACCCAGTTGATGAACGTCAGCACCTAGAATAGATCACCGGAGTAATACAGACTCTGCTCCTCACCCCAGTGCGCTAGACCAGAACTCCAGCAAGGTGGTGAAGGTTTATTCTGTAATCAAGATCTGATCTTTCAGTACCTCACAACATGGTGTGCCCATCTGCCTCCAGTTCACTCACATGAACCAGTTTAAACTACAGGAGAGCAAGTTTTAATGGTGGTGAAAAAATAAAGTCAGAACAGAAGTGCTTTTACATTGCTTCACCAAAGTGCTAAGGGTCAGAGCCTTCTGCTGGGAAAACTGAGAGCTCTCCACCAAGAGGGCTCACAAATGCTGGGTATGCAGCTCATTTTCTTTGCAAGTTTGGCAAAGGGTTGAGAATAGTTTAGCAATAAGCGTGAGACAGAAACAGATGCCATTCTTCAATTGCTTGCTCCAAAGCAAACGCAGAGTAAAAACGCACTGAATTAATAGACATACACCACATTTACACTGCTGAGACCCAGAGCAGAACTGAGCTCCTGCTTATATTCAAAACAGGATGAAGTTTCCTGTCTGGAAATGGCTCCGGGCCTTGGAGCTAAGCCAGAAACTATAGCTGCTCGCAGAAAAAGCTCACTGCTTTGCTTTTGTTATCTCCCAATGTTTCATTTCGGCTTTATGTTCCATCCCCAGAAGAGCGCTGTACGGTTTTTCATTAAACGGGGCAATAGCTCAGCCTTTCCTGCTTCACACAAATAGGGCACGTCCCAGCAGGCTCCTCATCAGCGCCGGGTTTGGAAAAGGCACTGCGGACGTCTCAGCTTCTTTCACATTCCCATCAACTCAGCACATTTTTGTGTGTGGTTCTCTTGGACCAGCTGAGCTCTCACTGCCTGGAGGGGACAAATCTCTTCCAAGGCTGTGCTTTCTGACAGTGGAAGTGGCTTTTCTCAGGGAGGGAAGTTCCTCCAGCACCGAGGGCACTACTGACAAACTCGGACAGCCCTGGCACGTTACATTACTTGCAGGTTGTAACTCCTGAGCAGGTAGGTAACTACTCAACGGCAAGCAGGACAGCATCCAGGAAAGAGAGGAATAAATCCCTGAGTAGGCAACTCTGAACACAAGATCTAGTTTCCATCTGCACAGTGTGATCTGGATAGGGCTCAAGGACAGCAAAAGGGCCGCAGGGAGGCTGATATTTGTATGCCCTGGCCTCCACGTCAGCTCAGCACCACAGCCACCTCTCTTTAGTACTGCCAGGGCTTTCTGGATACCGACCTTAGTCCCAGGGGGAAGGTCTAGGTTTCAGTGACTTGAAAAACCCAATTGCTAGTGAGAAATAGACCTATTTAAAAATGTATGAAGCACATCAAAATTCCGTATTAAACAGCCAATAAATATTAAACCACAATGAATATTTTAAAATGTTAACATGGAACTATACCAAACAAACTTCAAAAATATTAAAACTTGAGATATTTATTTGATTTTTCTGCCTGAACTAAGCATGATGGGTTTGAGTTTGGACAGGCTGACAGATGATAGCTCACTGCAATGGAAAATGTGAAAATTGGTTTAAGACCAAAAAAAAACAACAAAAGCTGAAGGGTGGAGGAAAATTCCTGGTGCTTGATTCTGCAGTCTGGCACCTTGCACAGCCTAAAGCCCTGTTCAAAGGGGAGAGAAACATTTGTGATCTCCACTGGTGAGAACGGTGGCATGCTGTAACAGTAAAGGCAGAGCAGAACTGACCCCACTCCACACCTTCTCCTGTTCCATAGAAGGGATCAGGAAGAGAAACCTGTTAGAAAAACAGCTTGTTTGCCTTAGGGCATGTCAGCATGCAGAGCACAACAGGCTGCAGGACTGCCCTGGAGCAAAGAAAACTGGCCATGATGTCACCCCAGCACTGCAGGCACGGTAATTAATGACTGGGTGGGACGCTCTGCTTTTGGTTCAGTGCACTTAAAGCACTTGACAGGATCCTCACTTGTATCACACAGCTCCAGGTTTACCCAAGTAATGGACATAGCTCAGAAACCACCATACACTACTGTCATGCAGTAGAAGCATGGGAGCAAGACCTCATCAACTCTTCTAACCTTAAGGGCAGGAATCACCCCTGACTCAAACGTGAGAAACCTTCACAGAGGAAACTTCTGCATTGCTCTATGTGACACTTTCACTTTGTGGTGTCTGTGGTATTTCTGCAGGGCACAGGTTTGTCTTGACCACGCTCCCTCCTGCTGGCACTGTGATCCCTGCAGACCACTGCAGAGGGACAGCAAAGGCCTGGTGAGGTGATGGTGAGGAATAATGTGTCATATACCCGTCCTGTGGCTTACTGAGCTCTTCAGAGCTCAAAGGTGCAACCGTAGCTACTTATCTCTTCCTCAATCAAGAGAGCCACTTACCTATGGCTGGGGCGATGTTATGAGTTGTGAGGTTCACCACTTTCTTCTCTCTCACTGGCTCCGTCACGAAGACTCGGTAGATCCTGCGCTCGTGCAGGCCACAGTAGTGATGGTGCAGGTGGCAGGAGTAAGTGCCTTCATCTGCACTTTCCAGCTGTGAAATCCGCAGGGAAAAGTCACCCAGGGCAAAGGCTGTGTCAGTGATGTTCATCTTCTGACGGATGAAGAGGGGTCCGTAGGAACGGCGCTCACCAGAGGCGTACAGATCAATGAGGCGGTCAGCCCGGTCGTGAGGAACCCCTGGGGGCTGCCTGTCCCAGTGCACCACTTGCTGTTCCTCTTCACTGTGCCGTTCAGTCCAGATGTGGTTACGGTTCACACAGGGGAGCATCACTGTGCTGCCTTGTAGGGCAACGATCACAGGCTTTTCCCCATCCCAGTACTCGCTTGCATCCTCAGCTGTGGGGACAATACAAGTTGTACAACCTCAGTACGTGCTGCTTTGCACACTTGGCCTGTTCTTAAGGACACCCAGGCACACCTAAGGTTGCTCTCAGACCCTGCAATTCCATAACACATCCTCTCCATAGATCTACAGGGGTAGTGTGCCTTGTTCACACTTACTTCAGCAGTAAGCAAAGAAACACACCTTTATCTTCTACATCCTAAGTCAGTGCACGAAGCAAGACCATTTTCTTTTCCTTATAACTGAAAACTAAGCGCTTGCTTCAGAAAGCAGGAAGTATATTGTCTCTACAGACTAAGAATAGAAAGAGAATAACAGATTCCATCTTCAATGTGCCATATCCCAATTCTCCAAGCAGGAAATGCTTTTCTACCCACAAATGCCCTAATTACTGGAGGAGTTCAAGAAGCGCTGGTTTGTATTTTGTTCTTGAAAAGGAGTAACAGAAGAACCAAAACACAGATGAGCAGACTGGGGCTCACAGGCCTGCCTGGGTGTTTTTATTGCGTAGAAGCCGTGAGAACAGCAGCAGAAGCGATCACTTCTCCCATCAGCCCTTCAGCAGCTTCCCAGCACAATCAGCTTGTGCATTACACAAATGTCAATTAAAATTACACAGTAATAACACGTGTGGCATGGGTGGCTCACATGCAGTTGCCAACAGCCCTTAGAAGCTTGTTTTTAGAACTAGAGTTAAGGTTTGGTAACTTGAGGAGACTTTTTAACTACAGACTTCTCAAGGAAAGCTCACCAACCAATGCACAAGGCAGATCTTTGTGGCTAATGCGATGATGGATTGGTACAAGGGATGTTTTGCTGGAGCAGTAACAGGACAGTGAGCAAATAGGGCTGCCTAGAGTAAACATTTAACAGGCTCCATGCATTGCTTGGCACATGCTAAGAAAGGAGAAGAGGCTCACAAATAACACACATTAGATAGAGTTTCTGAAACTCAGGGAATCTGATAGCAAATGGCACAGTGAGCACCACTGTTTCCTGATGCTTTCCAAGCCTCCTGTGGCATCTGTGCCCTGAACCTGCAAGTAAGAAGGTGTGGGGAAAACCCCACATCCTCACTGCTCTTCTCCGACACCCACAGACCAGCACATGAGGCCACCATGAACCAGCACAAGCCCCACTGTGAATTCATCACAGACCTTGGGCTCTGGTTGCCACACCAGGTCCCTCACAGAAAGGGGCACAGAGCTGTCCACCACACCTACCTTTCTTGGTGATTGTCAGTTGGATTTTCACAGTTTCGTATAAGTGGCAGTAGTGATGGTGAAGATTACAAGAATATGTGCCTTCATCACTCTCCGCAACATCTGACACAACAGGGAAGAGAAGTTGAAAGTTTTATGCTGAGACAATGATTACTTTTGTCATTTATGCTGTTTTCCAAATGCTTGTATGGATGCAAAAAGGCCTTTATACAACTTGGTGGGCTAAACAGCAGAGAATCATCTCACCTAATATAATAATTTGGTTTATTTTGGTCTTGCGTGGAATGTATTTGAATTAACAGATTGAAAAGTGATTTAAGTTTAGCTAAGAGCAGACATAGGAAGAATGACAATCTTGGGTTTAAAGTTCAGGAACTGAAATACAGTCAAAAGTCCACAAGAAGCCCAAGTGACTTTCAGCCAAGGAGTTGTTACCAGTTCTCTTTTAAATTGGGTCTGTTTCAAAGGGCAATAAAACACTATTGCCAGCACTTCCAAGAACCAAATTACACTGAAAACGCTCTGAAAAACAGCCATTTTCACTGAAGAAAACCACCAAGTTAATTTAGTCATGAATCCTCCATGCCTGCAGATAGCACAGGGACAAAAGATGCTGTTCAGTACCTTTGATCACCAAGGAGAAGTTGCCGTCTGTAAACGCATTCTGGGGCATGAATATCCTCCCTTGGTTGTAGGAGCTGTACACACGCTGATCCCCAGCCGAGTACATGTCACACAGCCTCTCCATCTTGTTGTCCCCGTAGTAGTTGCTGTACACGTCCCAGTGGACCACGCGCTGGCGGTCGTTCAGCCGGTCCTGGGTCCACACCATGCGGTGGCTCTTGCAGGGCAGGACAGCCTGCGAGCCCAGCGCGGCACTGATGTTTAACACCGACACCACAACGCTGTCTGGGTTTGAGGCATCGGCTGGGACTGAGAGCCAGGAGCAAAGAATAAAAGAGAGTTACCAGATTAATGGCACGTGAAGAAGACACTATTGTAGGACTCAAAGCTGTCCTAGAACCTCTGCACAACTTCCACCCCAAAAAAAGTAACTTTCAAGACCTGCATAGAGCGCTGTCATGGAGAAATACAACAGGAAGCCACTCAAAACCACTGATTTCATTCAGTAAAAACAATGTCTACAATGTGTATTACCAGGATTGTAGATTTGACCTTCCTACCTGCCTTTCCTAAATCCTAACCCCCCAGTTAATCACTTTAGTGACATTAATTAATGGGATGCACGGTTCATGCCTGTGGAGGTTTGCAATTAAACCCTGACTCCACATCACGGATTTGGGGTCCCTCTCATTTCTTCTCATGATCTCAATCAAAGGCAGATTACAAAGGTGTCACTCACCTGAATATAAATAAACAGAACCTGTTAAAGCAGAAAAAAAGAGAATGTTACTGACAACAAACAGGGAAAAAAAACCTACAACGACATTCATAGTCAGCAGCCACCTCCTCTGTTATTATACCATCTATTCCTCCTTCTCTGTTAATACACTGATTTAATATAGTGCCCAGAGGTTCAGCCTTTTGCTGGCCCAGCAGGCCAAGAACAGCCCACAGAATCACAGAGTAGCTTGGGTTGGAAGGGATCTTTAAAACTCATCCAGTCCAACCGCCCTGCAATGAGCAGGGACACCTTCAACCAGATTTGGTTGCTCAGAGCCCTGTCCAACCTGACCTTGAATGTTTCCAGGGATGGGGCATCTACCACCTCTCTGGGTAACCTGTGCCAGTGTTTCACCACCCTTACTGGAATAAAAAAAGTCTTCCTTGTATCTAGTCTGAATCTACCTTCTTTTAATTTAAAACCATTACCCCTTGTCCTATCACTACAGGGTCTACTAAAAAGTTTGTACCTATCATTCTTAGAAGCACCCTTTAAGTATTGAAAGGTCACAATAAAATAAGGTCTCCCAGGAGCCTTCTCTTCTCCAGGTTGAACAACCCCAGCTCTTTTTACCTGTCCTCACAGCAGAGCTGTTCCATCCCTCTGATCATTTCTGTGGCCTCCTTTGGACCTGCTCCAACAGGTCCACATCTTTCCTGTACTGAGGACTCGAACTGGACACAATACTCCAGGTGGGGTCTCACCAGAGTAAAACAGAGGGGGTCACCCAGTTGTGACCAGTTAAAACCATGTTCATTTTTGTGCTGTTTGACCATTGAAATGCATGGGACAGTTTTATTCCCATCTCTTCCCCAGCAGATACCCACATGTCAGTCAACTTCCTCTGCTAAGGCAGAGGCATTAATGGACTTGGAGGCAGAGCTGCCCCCAAATCATTACACACTCTGCTGTCAGCACTCTCCTGAGCAAACACATCCTTTGATTTGGGAGCTTGGCCCCCAGAGCCCTCTGCTCACACTCCTGGTCTGTTCAGTTAACACTGTAATGCTCCGGACACAACTGCAGCAGTGAGATCTCCAACTCACATGAGAGATCTACACAGGAAGAACTCTGCAAGAAATGAATTAATTCCCTTATTTCTGCATTTCTATGGTCCAGCCCCTCCTGCTTTTTGTGTAGGAAGGGTCTAGGAGGTCTCCTGGCATCACGCTTTGAGAGCGTGACTCAGATTCCCAACACAAGGACATCCTTCATCTCACCACCCAGTCAAGCCCAAGCGGGTTCCAGCAAGATCGTCAGATGTTTTGTGCTGCTAATGTCATAGGCACAAAGTCCTCCAGACAAAGGCTGTATTTCTTTATTCAGCCTTGGAATTTATGCATTTCAAACGAGAATAAATTAACTCCAAACTGGGGCTATTTTAACCACACCCCCCCGTGCATGGGCTGAGAATAAATTCTGTTTCCTTTCCTTCTCTTATCCCAAAACGCTGGGCAGTTACAGCAGAGAGCAAAAGGGAGCAGCGTCTTCTGTTGTGCTGCCAGTTCAAAGACACTTCAAATATCAGTTATTTTTCATTTATTTATAATCTCCGCATCACAAAGACAAAAAAAAAACCCCTCAAAGTCTGTGCTTCAGTGGAGATAAGAAAGAGACATCATACACGAGACATTCTAATTCCATTATTTGATGGTCTCTCCTAATATGGTGCAAAATGCCTGATGGGAAAACACAATGAACTGCCAGCCTCTGTCTCTGGAAGCCAGGACTTAGATTGAGCTTAGGACAACAAAGGAGTGACACAAAGCTCTTTAACAGCACCAAATCAGCCTTCACCAGCAGCAATCAGTCCCACTTGTGACAGGACAACCAGCTCTCAGCACAGCAGCACCCACTTGTACCAGTGTGACAAAGCAAAGCATCCAAATTGGTGATGTTTGAGGGAACAACGCAGCATCACAACACGAACAGCGCCTTGCGTGCTTGGGAGCAGTGTCTGCGAGCTGGCTGGATGCACAGCCAGCGCTTCCAGAGCCTTGCACTGCTGCTCATTAACAGCAAATCGATCTGGCGCTGCAGAAACATCCTCTCCTGGCTCAGCAAGAGGAATTCATTTACTTCTTTCCTCTTGCAAGTTAATGTAAAAAACACTGAGCCCAAATGCAGCGTTGTAAATCTAACAAGAGTATCCACCTGAGCCTTCCAGCGTGCTCTGCTCAGCAGCCGTGGCAGCCCTAAAGTGACAGCAGCACTAACCCCTGGTTGGTGTCCTTTAGCTGGCCCTACCAGCATGGTGAGGGACCACCCAGGTCCTGACTTTATCCCACCCACAGGGGCCTTTTGCCAGGCTCTGCTGCTGGAGCCCCAAAAGCCAGATGAATGCATTTCCCCAGCGCATTTCCAGACTTTACTGTCTGTAAAACAAGGAAGCGGCGAAGTTGTCTGTAATGTAACAGCTTTTAGATAAGAAAAGCTTGTGTCTTGTAGGTTTTGACAGCTTCTTTTTCCCTCCACTGTCAATGTTTCTGCTAGCAGCTCCCTAAGCAGCAGAGCTTCTGGGATCTTCAGGGTCTAGGGTATCATTCGGAGTCTCAAAGCAGTAGGTGCGAATATCAAAAAGAGAAGGGCATAGCAGCCAATAAGCACGGTTCTAGAAGGGAAAGAAAGGCCAAGTTTTCACAAGAGGCATGGAAACCCCACCAGACAAAGGAGGAAGAACCAACTGTGCTGATCTCCCAGCAATGCTGGAAGTCTGCACACATTCTGATAAATCTGACGTGGCTGTAAAAGAGATCATTTAGAAATGTAAGGAATCTGGAATGTCTCTGATCCCTTGTATGCCTGGAGAAAACGGAATTTCAAACAACTGACCTTCAATAACCTGAACACAGAGCAGCAGTTAAAGAAGGAATAAGCCTTTTTTTCAGTCTCTTCCCTCTGCTATGTAAGAAAAACAGAGCAAAGATGTCCCCCAGCCATGCTCCTTGAAGTTACTGGTTGTGGAACACAGCAGCTACTGACAAAGGCAAAGACATATCCATAACGTGGCAAAGTTCACAGTTCATGAGCTACAGGACCAGGGTAAAGTGGAAGCAGTTCTTTTGGCAAGTCATACTTCCCAAGCTGCAACTGTAAAACCAAGGAGTGTTTATGCACCTGGTGAAAGCTCAGACTTGTGAAGTCGCAGGAATTCAGGACCTGGAGCTTCAAAACCACCAAACACCTTAACAGTTGTCAACACAGAACTCACTGCAGTTCTCATTTTAAAATGTCCAATTCCACGTGATGGATAACCACGTTGTCCTCTGTGTGATGTACCCATAAAAAACCAAGACCACATCTGTATGCTGTCCCCTGACATGTTCTGTGCAGACTCTGCAGGATCTCAGAGGTGTTCTGCTGGTCCCACAATACAGGAAGAGGAAGGAAACGCTTTTGCAGGCTGCTTAATTCCTTGTAAAAGGCAGAGCCAGCTCTTACTTCTTGAATCCAGCTCATACTTCTTGAATCCCATCCACTTCTCAAGTAAAGAATTAAGCCCCAAAAACTGCAGGCAAACTAGAGGTAAAAGCTTCAGGCTCTGAAAGACATCTTACATACTCAGAGCTCTCAGGGCAGTGTCCTTAGAGCAGTTCAAACAGAAAACTGCCCCTTGAGCCCTGCCTGAACGCCACCACTGCTTCTCTCCTCCTGGAGATAGCTGCTGGCACAGGGTCTGCTTCACAGGTGGTAACGAAACCAAGTTCCTGTCTCATACTGGAGGATGAAAGGCTACCAGGGCAGAAAAAGAAACTACAAACACTGTAAGTGGTAGCCTGATTGCCAAGTGGCACATAAGTTCCATGGGATGTGGCAAGGCCAGCTCTACCTGCAGTGCTTCTGCTGAACTCGGGAAGAGCCTTGCCATTGATGGCAGCAGAGCGAGGATAAGCTGCCTGAACAGTGCCTGACAGGCAAGAAGCACCACTGAAGTCCAGAGTGTAGCAGTAGGCAGGAAAGAAAACAGAGAAGTAACTGGAGAAATGAGTGTCACAACCCCCAGGTGTGTGCAGTGAAACAACAGTCCATGAGGTTGACACTCTGCTTGTCTAAGTAAGCTCAGCTCATTCTTTCTTTGCACACCTTCTCTGGTATCTCCTGGTCTGTCTCAGCTGCTTTTTTCTTTTGAAAGAGGAAGCCACATCACCTTTACATTGGGAGCACAAAGGGATGGTCTAGTCCTAAAGAAAGGACGTGTTCTTCGCAAAAATCTGTGTGTGTCAGGCTCCTTATTTCTCCCATAAATCCCATTGTCTATGCAGGGGATTTAGTGGTCTCTGTAGAGCCATTACACAATCACTGCTAAAACAGCAGCCTGTGCTACCAGGATATTTCCAAATACTTTTGGAGAACGGCAGTGTCTCCATCCTGACTCTTTAGCGAGCTGACCCAGCATCTAAGAAGCTATAGCGGCTTACACTGCAGTGACATCAAGGTGACAGCTACACAGTGAGCTCAGCTCTCTTCTGGCAGTCATTTTTTAAAAAACCCACTGACCAGTAACCAGAAATAACATCTGGGCCCAAAGAGACAGAGGAGGGAGATGGTGAGCAATAGATTTCCACCTAGGCAGCAGCTCCTGCTCACTACCTGCCCCTGCTGGCCTAGGACTGCAAGACTCAGCTTTGCAGTAAAACAAGGTTTCCCTTACAAAACCAACTGATGCTCAAGCCAGGCTCTGAACTGGGCTTTTATCTAGGTCTGCATGTTTGTTTATTTTTAAAGGCTTCCTGGGACAACTTTCTCAATAGCAGTTTTATGCTTTCAAAAAACTGTCAGGACTGGAGAGCCCTGAACTACCCGTGCAGTCCCAACAACTCCAGCACCTCACTGCAGGTAGGAACATGTCCAGGAATTGGTAAAAAGCAAGAATGTGCTGCTTCAGCAGACAGGAAAAAGCCTTCTGCCTGCACAAGAAACCAATTGCCATCTTGGCCCCTGCACAACCAGGATCCCTCACAGATTTGCCCTAACTTTCTCACAGATCCGATATTAGCTCAGCTTTCTAAACCCTTCTCTGCTCCGTGTACTTCACCCTGGCTCCAGGCCCACGGTTTGCAGAGTCATTGCAAACACAGCACTGATCCTCTCTGCAAGACATTAACACTTGAGGGTGTGGTTCCTCCCCAGAAGGGACCATCTCAGCAAATATGGACCTGCACAGATGTCCTCCCTTCTCCCCTTCCTGCCTTCACTCATGGTCTTATAACCTGATGTGTGGGGACAGCAGGACTCAAGCATTAGAGCTGCCTGGTATATGGAGAGTTAACTCCCCAAAATACACCTGAAGAAAGTCAGTCAGAGATCATCCATCCTGAGGTGGGATGTTGTTGCCTGTACACAGTTCCCCAACCTGCAATTCCTGCCCTGGGTGCTCCCCAAGCTCTGCCAACATGCTAAACCACACTGGGGAGCAGCTGGACTGGTTGGTGCTTCTGCAGTACAATTTATAGCCTCTCCTCTTTCTCCAGGCTTAACCTACCCCTACACCCTAGTTTTCTGAGCGGCTTTAACCCTTCTGTCCCTATGACTGATCCTGTATGTTGCCAATTCCTAAACCTTGCCTTGAGGCACTGCAAAACTGGGGATGACGTGGTGGCATGGAAACTAATAAGGGACCAAGCTGAGGACTCTTCAGCTTACTCCATCTGCATACTGAGGAATTTCGAGAGGCTCAGGTGGCCAGCCATAGCCTTTCATTAACACAGTTGTGAAGAGCAGGGGGGGTCACCAGTCCCCCAAAACCTTGTGCTCCTCACTTCCTGCTGTAAGCACCCTGAATGAAGTCTCTCCATGCTGTTATCCTTGCTCACAGGTGCCTTCCTTAGAGCCCAAAGTGTTGCAAAGTGTGCATTTGCTGAGACTTGGCAATTAATCCTCAAAGCTTCTCCTGCCATCCAAGCCTTGCTGGGGTTTCTCTGCTTAGCTTGGGGCCAGGCTGTCAGGACCCTGAACCTGCTTCCAGCTCTGACAGAAAACTCAGTGATTAAGAAAAGGTACGAGCCATTCTGTTACTGTAAACTCAGCAGACTTGTCCTCATCCCTTCCTTGCACCTTACCCAAAGGAGAATTCCTACATCTCTGTCTTTACATTGACAGGGAAATAAAATCCAAACTAACTTAAATTTCTCCTCCGTCCTGAACACTCACACACACACACACATACACACACACCCCCACCAGCTGTTTCTGCCTCTTCAAAAGGATAAAATAACCTTGGATCATGTAACTCTAACTACGCAAGCTTTACTGCACTCACATTCAAGCTTACTGGTCTTAAATTTACTGATCAAGATAACTGATAGGAAAAGAATAGATTGCACAAACGTGCTGCCTGGAGTGCCACTTAAACAAACCCAAACATTTCTCCTTTCTCTCCAACAAGCATAAGAGATCCACAATTCCCTCCCCTCAAACGAAAACACAGCAAGCCAGGGAATCGGAGCAAAATCTGACAAAAAGAACAGTTCAAAATCTTCTCACTAACTGCCAGCCCCGTCCTCTGCAGCCTGAAATCAAAACAAGCAACTTCATCATGCCGATCAGCTCGGAGCTTACTTTGCTGAAGCAAAATCTGCCACAGGAGGAGTTTTGCTAGTTGCTCCATGTCTTCAGCGTCTCCGTGCTTTTGTCTCTCTAGAAAAACAAGTTGAAGACTTTTTTTTTTTTTTAACTTTTTTTTTTGGTAACTGGAAAACACTATGAGCTCATCAATTCACATCCAGAAAGCTGTGGACAGCAGCTCATACTCTGCAGAATTACTCCACCTACAACTTCCAATTCCCCACCTCCCCTCTCCGCTCTCCCCCCACACTCACACTCCACCTCCTGCCTTTCCCTGACGCTTTCTGCACCATTGCTGCTAACACCCACTCGTCTCTTTCCCCTCCCTCTGGGACCTTCTGATCTGCCCCTGCTTTGATGTAAAAGTTTTAATCAGGTAAAGTTGGTCCCGTGCAGCTCTGGGCTCACAAAATGATCTTTCTCCCTCCCCCTAGGGATGGAACTAATTTCCCCCGTGCTTTACTTGATCCAGCTGTTGCTTCCTTTGTTTGACACTCGTCCAGCTGTCTGCTCCAGACTGGGTTCATTCTGTTGCCTTCAGTGGCTTTTTGATCTTCGTCTCCTCATATGGTTTTACTTCAGGCTCAAGTCTCAGAAGACAACCTAGAAGACAATATTTATTCTGTCCTGCCATTTGTAAGCAAGGGCTTAATAGCAGCTCCCTTAGCAAAAGGATGGTAATGACAAAAGCTGAGTTTATGGGAGCTTTGGGCAGTGCAGGCAAAAGAGCCTAGAACTAAAAGCCCCAGAATATTGCAATGTGGGGAACAGGTTTCACTGCCACAGAGGCCAGGACACAGAAACAAAGTCAAGCAATGACTGAATTTTCATCAGTTTTGCTGGGAAAGGCTGTTAAATTACATGAACCAGTTCCTAAAGCCTGTACTAAACTGTGTTTATATAACCCACTTTGCTGTTTCCCACAATGATTAGGATTATTAACACAGTTACTGGAAAAAAAAATCCATGACAAACAGCAGAGAAACCAGCAGTAAGTTCTTAAACTCCAAACTTTGCTTCACAAAATAATATCTACATAAACCATTTATGTGTATATACACTCACAGGCCAATTAAAAGTTCAGATCACCTTAGTTTGCATCTGCAGACCAGAGACAGTCATCATTGTTTCAGTCTGAGAGCTTTAAAATACAAGCTAGTTGCATGCCCATGGCATTCCATGGAGATAAACTTAATTACCACTTGAATTTTTCCTTCTGACGTTTTTCTGTATCATCTAGTACACCAGAAGATAGATTTCTTCTGCCCTAAAGAGGGCTGTGCTTCAGGAAAGGGGAGAGCATTATAACAAAAATGTAAATGAAAATCTAAATTATATCCTGCACCAAGGAAAACTTGGGAAACATCCAGACTAAATCAGATCAGAACTTCATGTCATCCAGCAGACAGGACCAGACACTTCCAAAGAAATCCCAGGAAACTGGAGTTATTATTATTAAATAATTTGACCATAAAAAAGCCTACTGTGAACTGCAGCAGGTCTTCACACTGTCCAAACCAGGCCCAGATAACTGTGGTTTGTTTCTAGTGAAAAGCTCCAAAATAATCTTCAGATAAGAACCCCGTAACATTTCACTGCAAACTTCATCTCTGGCATTTATACTAAGTGGGGAAGTTTGTGGGTAATTAGATACAAGCAGTCCCTCAGCCCAAGTTCCCACACTCATCAGTGGAGCTGTGTCAGTAGCCTGCACGTTCCCGTGTCCAGTCTGATCATAACCCTAACGTGAACACACGGGCTCATCTTCACAAGCCTCACGTATCTGCATTAACCCAATTCCATAACCAGCTGCAGGCAGCAAAGGCTCCTCCTATGCCAGATCCCAAAACTGAAAACCTGCTGCCTGAATCTCAGGTATTGCAACAGAAACAGCGCTGACCTACAGCAGCCGAGGCGCCGGCCTGCGCAGAGCCAGGCGGCTCATGGAAGAAGGAGCCTTTCCTGTTGTCTGTGTCAGGCCAGAGAGCCAGAAAAAGGCTCAAATCTGACAGCTTTTGTTCAGCTGCGTCATCAGAGTCTGAAAAATGCTTGGCTGGGAGGCAGGAAGCTGAACCCATTGCGCAGACAGCACACACAGCACCCTGTCCTTCCCTTGGTTTCTCTCAGCCATGGGAAAAACCTTGCAGGCTGCAATTCCAAGTTGCTTTTTCACCTTTCTGCCTCCAAGCTTTGGCACTGCAGAGGTTACTGCCTGCTCCTTGCAGGACTGCTGGGATGGATGCGGATCGCTGCGGTTGCTGCTGTCACGAATTGGCTATTTCCTGACTGAAAGAAGCCAAGCTCAGGCTGAACCCACTGAAGTCTCCTAAAGAAAACCACCACTGGAAGGAAAGAGCTTCTCTGGGGTTCACAGCAGGAGGAGGAAGGGGATACAGGAGGCTATTTCACAGCTTTTTACTCTTTCTCTTGTCAGCCCTGCCTTCCTAGAGCTTTGCTAGACCAAAGAGAGCCTGGAAGGGCAGCTGTGTCAACACTTTGCCCAGGCAGGAGCTGAATTTTTAACTAGACTCTCACTGGCCTGACTGTCTCCTCCCTAACCCTTCTCCTTCCTTGCTCCTAGAAGTATTTTGGGTATTGATTCTCAAAACAAGAGGCATCCCTTAGATACCTACCCTGACCACAAGTCCTGTCCAAAGCAAGCAGCTTCATCCATGCAGGGGAAAGGCCCCTTCCAGCACCAACACAGGTGGGTTTGCTTCCTGGAGCTCTGCATCTGTCATCCTCATCATAAATCTGGTTATCAGGGGGAAGAAAGGCTCCCACGTTTCCAGACTCACTCCTATTTCAGATATGAAATAAATGGTGATATGACATAGATATTTCAGATATGAAATGCTGGTGACTCAGGTGGAATAAAGCCCTGCCCAAAGACAGTGCAAGGGTCACAAATTAATTGGCTTGTGGGAAACAATAATGAGCAAGCCATGTCTGCCAGGAAGTTTCCTCTTCCCGTTCTCTTCCGTTTTAACATTTTTGTTTTCCATGGCTGCAAGGAAAGAGCTCCCAATAAATCTGAACTGAAGATCACCAGTCTAGAAAAACAGAGCAAGCATGGGACTGGGAAGAAGGTTTGATGCCAAGAGGTACGCTCCATCCTCTTACTGCAATTTTAAGAACCATTAACCCTGGGAAACAGGAGTGGAAGTGGCCACTTCCGCTCCATTTCCACAGCTATAAGTAATGTATTAAAAAGGAATGGCAGGATTAATGCTCTGTTGACATAAAGAGACAAATTACAGTACAAGGCCTTATGTACAGGATACACTGACACTGTTTATCTTCTAGGGGGAATTGCTCAAATAACCCTTGTCAGGGTAGTGTGATCAACCTGTAACACTCAGAGGGATAAATACGCACCCATATCACTAAGAAAGGTCTGGTGTGGGTGGGGAGAGCCTTCAGAGCTGCCTGCTGATGGAAGAGAGCAATGTAACACAGAAACATGTGAATTACCAGAGGGTATGCGTCTCCCAGGAGGCTTCATTTGGTTGCAAAGCTTTTCTTGTTAAAATAAATCTTTCAGCTGCGATGAATCCCATAAGCAAGCCTGAAATAATCCAACTTGCAGCAAGAGCTGTGAACTAAAAGGACAAAACTGAAACCCAACCACAATAACAGGGCTGTCAAGCGAAGCCTGTCATTATGCCAGAGATGTTACAAGCCACATACCTCATACAGACCCAGCATTACACTGTTTGTTCCCTACCCAGAAATGCTAAAGGCCCTGATTTGCCTTCTCTGAAGAGCACGTTCAGAATGACAAGTCAAGGGCCTGGCCAGATGTTTTTCTGCTTTGTTTGATTTCATTGGAGTCCACTCCAGCCCATGATGCAGTCACCAAACACATGCACATACCTCATGTATGGGAATGGCAGATCCTTGACACTCTTTATACCAGGTATGTATAAAACATTATCATGGCAACAGTTAATAATACCCTGGGGACAACCTTCACAAAGGTGAAGTCCACAAAATCACCCCATAGTGGTAGTCACTGCAATGGTCTAAGCTACGCAAACTGAGGATTGTCCAGGAGCAGTAACTGTTATTTGGGGGCTGTCCTTTGCAGGCAATTCCTCAACTTCTTCCTGTCTTCCATCTCCAGCTGGAAAGCTCTACTTCTTCATCTGCCAAAGGCACTGGAGCATAAAACAATTAATGTGAATGGCCAGGTATGCAAGATACTCACTTCGATGGAATTTTAAGAGGTTTTTTGATCTTCTGCTTAATGCACTGAGCTTTGCACCTTGTCTAGCAGAGACTTAGACGTGCACAGATGAGGAGTTAAACTGTAGCACCCGAGCAGATGCTCACTTACCAAATTGATTCCTATGTGTGCATATGTGAGTGTGTGTTCTTCCAGCACCGCTGTCCTTGTAACAGGTCAGAGAGCTCTGTCTGCATCGTTTGCCATAAGGCATCTCTACAGCTCAGTGGTTCCTGTCGTCGAGCATCTCCGGATGGCACTATATTTAAACACCCCATTTTGTTGGAAAGCACTCAGCTTCAGATTCCTGGGATTCATCTCAAAACCATTAACAGAATCCAGTTACAAAAACAGAGAAATTGCCCAGGAAACCAACACAGATTTATTTTTTTTCCCCCCCCAGAGTGAAACCTGAAGATTATTTTTCCAAGATAAAAATGCATTTCGGCAATTTTTCCACAACACAAAATCCAAAAAAGCTGGGTTCAGTTTGGGGAGAGAAGCCAAATGGATTTACATGTCCCAAAAAAAGAAAATCAGAGGCAGACACTTAGGAGGTATAAGTCAGCAAGCTTATACCAACTACTGTGGACTTAGGTCAGTTTATACCTGCTAAGGATCTTCCTCATAAAACACCGTGTTCCACAGATACCCACCAGATCATTCATCTACCACTAGAGAGCTTTAGGTAGTGGTGAAATTTGGTTACCTTCTTCATTAAAAGAGAATTGAGAGTCTCCTTCTCTTCACCTTTTCTGCAGATCCCACATAGCTGTGCTTCACCAGATGGTTTTTCCTGTTCATACAATGTATCTTCCCATTCATAACCTGTGAAAATCACTGTCAAAACCCTGCAGATAATAAATATTCTTAACAGTAAAACAGCTCTTTTGAATCAGTATCAAAT